AAAAAAATAAGAACCAAGAGACTCATGTAATGATACAAATCCGAATGATGAATGTAACTATTTTATACCTCAAATGTACCAATAAATTTAATGGGGGGAAATAAAAAAGAATGTGTCTTGTCATGTAATCATTTTTTTAAATTAAACATCCACCATATTTTTAAATCATACCTTGTATTAATATCAAAGAAACAATTCAAATGATGTTTGGGGTGAAATTACCTTTAAATGAACGTTTCCATTGTAATTTTCATGCAATTAAACTCATATCATAAAATTTATTCTCATCTATTTATTTGGACACAGGATTATGCTATATAATCCAGGCTGACCTTGAATTTGGGATTACAGGCATGCACTACCATGCCCAGCTTCATATACTATCATGACTTTTACAACATAAAAACCTGGTATGTTCCTCCCAATATTTATAAATAAAATTATTCACTTTCAGAAAACAATCCCTTTCTGGTTGGGGAGCCAACTTTTAGACATTATAATAAAAAAGTCATAAAGTCTACTTACTTATGTAGTTTTCCTAATAGCCCTCTTTAAACTCATGGAAGAATAAACTAAGATATATAATTTAAAAATCAAGTTAGTGACACCAGATAATACACAGACATTAAGGTTTTAAATTTAACATACAAAAATGTATAATTCTAACAAAATATTTGGTATCTCCTGGTTTTCTCACCTGAGAAAATACAAATAGTAACACCGCAGGTTATATGGAATGTTCTGCTTTTATCCAACAATCTTCTTGTTCTCCTGCTTGGAACCTAAATAAAAATTATTTCATATGGTAAAAACAATGCAATCAATAAGATACTGTATATGTACAATGCTTTTCACTATAGCATTTTGGTAATATTTAAATTTTGAAAATATAGCAGAAGCCTGGTAATCAAAAATTAGTAAAATTAATTCTGACATGCCTGGTAAATAAAATACTCAAACCATTAAAAAATGTGACAAAGTTATGTCACTGGCTTGAAAAAACTGCAAAATATATTGTTAGGTTAAAAAGGTTATAAAACATAACTATACTGTGATCCTGTATTGTTCAAAATGAGTAGCATTATATATTAAAGTCTCTGCAGGCATTTACCCCAAGCTATCATCTGTCATTGTTCTGACAAAATAAGATTAGCAGAAATTTTTCTGACTCTATTGCATATTTCTGGAATGTTTGAACTTCCTAGTACGTATGATTTCCTTTTCTAGTAAAGTAAGGTTATTCTTACATGAGGCAATCTTATCTATGGCCTTAAATGCCTGCCTGGTCTTGTAGAAAAATAAATGTCAAGCATCTTTGGATATCTGTGCTTCACACTGGGAAACAATTCTTTAAGACTTATTTAATACTGACAGACTTAGGTGGGAACTTTTCATTTCCTGCTACTTATCTTCTCTTTCTTCATGCTAAGCCAATGGCCAGCCCCAGGGATCAAAACCTAGCATTTTACAGTGGTAGGCAACCTAGCGAAGAGTTATTTCTACAAATTACTGCATTTAGAATAAAGAGTTTCAAATATAATTACATGAAAAGGTTAAGAAGTTTTACTTGAGTAAATCTGCACATGTGAACTTCACAGAGCATTATAACAAACCTTTTTTTAAAAATCATTATCTATCCAGCAGTGCCTCATTATTTTAGTGAAGAGTAAACTCATACACACATGTACACACACACACACACACACTTACACATGCACAAGAATAGAGACGGAAAAGAATTTCAGTAGTTTTAATAGAATAACTGTTGAAGGCACTTTTCTGTTTTCTTATATTCTCTAGTTTACAACCCTAATCAAGACATGTTTTCAAGTTCAATGGGTATGTGGTGTTAAATTGCTGTGAGCACTATCCATCTTTCCATACATTGCTCAAAGGCCTCAGGACTTTACTTTGCTCACGGAATTTAGCTAAGTGAAAATATAGGATCTCAAGAAGCCATAGTGTAGTAATAATAATGCAATACTAGGACCTTCATTTTAGTTTCAGCTGTGAACTCACAATGATTTAATCCACGATGAGCATAGTACTCCCATGCTCCAATCACCTTCCAAAAGTCCCACAGCTGAACACGTGACACTTTTGAGGGACATTTTAGATCTAAACCAGACACAAACAAAAAATGATTATAGAATCCATGAAAAGATTCATGATGGTGTAATGAAATACTAAGTATTGTTCCTAAATACAGTTGCCAATAAGTTTCTACAATCCTCTGCCTTTAATGTTGTAGAAGAGCCCAATGGTCATCTTGACAGTTAGCATGACCTTCACCATCATCCTTAAAGAAATCACTACAGAAGTCAGACCATGAAAACTAAGCAGAACTAGGCAGACTGTTACAGATGATTTTCATGTTGAAATTTATTACTAGGATTTTTTTTCTTACCTTCTGAGATCCTCGAAGATAAGCCAGCAATGTTCGGCACATGGGTAAAAGGATAAGGCTGCAATTGAGGTTAAGAACAGCTGCAGAGGCTCTGCTTAGACACAATCCTAGCTGAACAAACAAGGCAAGAGTCAAAACACAGTGAAGTACAAACATAAAATAGCCATGACTTGCATGTTACAGGTCTCTCCTTTCCTCCTTTAAGGATCATGGCAAAAGCCAATTCCTTCATAAGTCTTCAATAAGCTTCACTTTTCCTTTCACCAAAAAGCCCCTTAAAAAAACTAGTTTCTTTCTGTTTTGAATGTCAATAAAACTTAGAGCTCCTTTCATTTCTGCTAGTGTTATAATCACCTGAATATATATTCTTTCATCTCAGAATCCATTTCTGTTCTGGGTTTTAAGAGCCCAAGAGAGACTCAGTACTTTATTTTCTGTACCTCCATACCCATGCAGCATTGGACCCTTCATTCACAGACAAGGTCACAAGAGTTTTAAGTGAAGCATTCATTTGTGCTCTCTTTCTCTGGAATTACCTCAGCAATCACACAACCCATTCCTTTTCACACTACCATCTGTCTTCAAGCTCTTCACTTCTTTGACTCTAATCTTTCAGGTTTCAATTAAGCTTTGCTCCTCTTGAGTTCTTTCCTGACTTGAAAGCAGGAAAGATCCCACTGTTATAAACACTCATTGCTTCCTGTACTTTATAAATCAGAATGTCTTTTAACACTCTGCCCAACTGTCTCTTTTTAAGTTTTTTTAATTGAAGAATAATTACAGTACATATTTATGGAGTGTAATGTGATGTTTTAATGCATGAGTATATTGCAGAATGATCAAATTAGGCTAATGAAGATATGTCTCACTTCAAACACTTATCATTTCTTTATAGTAAGAACATTTAAAATCCATTCTTTTTACTATTTTGAAATATACCATACATTATCATTAACTGTAGTCACCGTATTGTACAGTAAATCATAACTGACTCCGACTGAAAATTTGTATCCTTCAACTAACTCCTTCTTTTTCCCCATCACCATCCCCAGTCTCTGATAACCATCACTCTACTCTACTTCTAGAAACTCATTCAACTTTTTCAGATTACAAACATAAATGATATTATGGGGTATTTCTCCTGTGTCTTATTTTTCTAAGTATAATGTCTCTTAGGTTCATGTGTGTTGTCACAGGCGACCAATCTTAATTAAGATGATACTTGAAAGCTGAGATACATATGTGTATGTCTTGGATATAATATGTACCAGCTTTTTTTGGCACCATTTCCATTTTATCAGAGTTAATTTAAAGCATTACTACATATAAAAGTAAATAGAGAATAGTACAGAATAGAATTCAAAAGTATTAGAAAATACACACAGATCTGTTCTTAGTTGCCACGTACTGTCTGGCTACTGTGTATTTTTTGTTAAATGTTAAATGTTAAATTTGTTACATGTTAAATCTCCTCTGACAACTGCGGGAAGTCATTCCACCAGGCACCACTATGTCTGTTGTAATTTCTTAAGGCAGCAGGATAAAACTAATACACTGAAATGGAGCTCAAACTTCATCAAGGCATTGTCAGAAATTTCAGGTCACATAATCAAAGACTTATTCCACACAGCCAGGATGGACTGTATACTTTGATTCTGCAGGAAATTATTAAAAAGGCAAACCTTGAATTCAGACAAGTCTTAAGCTGACTAACCAAGTTATAAACTTCTCTAAAGAACAGGACAAAAACTACTATCAATGCATTTCAAAATACAGGTATCATACCAATCATTTTCTCCAATAATGTAATCAATTTAGATGTTAGTAACAACACATAATTTAAAAGTCATTACTTCAATAATTTTTTTAAAACTAGCAATGTCTGCATAGCACACAGGAATTCTAGGTTCAATCCACCATACTGCAAAAACAAATAAGCAGAAAAAGAATGAACTTCTATTAGAAATACTGAGCTGGTGATGTAGTTGAGTGATAGAATGCCTGCCTTATATGCTCAAGGCCCTGGTTTGATCCTCAGAACAGAAAAAAAAAAAAAAAAAGAAAAAAAAGAAAAGAAAAGAAAAAGACAGGATTAAAAGATACAAAAATAACATTAAGATTTGCCCAAAATAGGAAAAAAAAAAAAAACAAAGATGAAAGCATAACAAATTTAAATACCCTATAAACAAATTAATATAAATCAGAATAATATAGTGCAGTGGCAGGACATACAGTCAATATAAAAATGTGATAAAAACATAAACAAGAGCCAATATAAAAAGTGCATATAAAAACATAAATAAGTATCTTGCTTAATCTCTCATTACTGAGACAAAACACCCAAAGTTAAAGGGAGAAAAGTTTATTTAGCTCACAGTTTGTAGTTTATAGGTTTCAGTACATCATTGGCTGGCTCCAAAGCAGCGTGGTGTGGCAGACAGGCATCGCAGAGGAGAAAAAGTTCATGGTAGGCACAAGGTAGCAAAGCAAGCAAGAAAGGACCACAGCTCTTTTTATCCCTTATATCTTATCCAGGCTACTTAGGGTGGGGAGGACTCACACCCTTAATCCTAGTGCCCTTGAGTCTATCATTGCACCATGAATCAATCCCAGTGTCACACACTCTATATCCAGCTACCTCTGAAAAATCTCCACCTATGACTGCATGAGGCTTTGGGGGACATCTAGACACAAGCTGTAACAATTTCAAGCCATAACAACTGAATTTCAGAAGAAATCAAAAGGTGACATCTTATCTGTACATTTGTCCGAAATAAGCACAAAATTACTCTCTTTTAAGAATACTAAGAAATATATGACACAGATGCTTTTCTTTTGAATTTGTATACCTTTGAGCTCCAACTTAACAACAGACAAAATACCAATTCTACCATGAAGTATTTATTGTCACCATATGAAATATTGTTCCTGAAGGGGATACAGGGTGATCACTAGTGTTTGTGAAGAAAGCAATAATTCTCATTGAAAATTTTTAAAAGTAACTAATATATTCAGTCAGGCTATTTCTGCAATATGAGTTAGAACACTTTAGAGATACAGTTCAAAGAATATACTAGTAAGTGGACAAATATAATCCTCTCTGGACTATCTAATAAAGATGAAAAATATAATTTTCTCACCTCAATCAGTACAGTTACTATCATTTGAGAGTTAGGAGTTTTTGCTGTTTATCTAGACCTCCAGAGAAATAGAAAAATTGTTACTTCTTTTATCTGCCATTTGCATATGGTAAAATTTTAGCTTAGAGAATTTTAGACGACAGTTTTACTATGCATTTTTTTTTGGTACCAGGGACTGAACTCAGGACCCTGTGCTTGCAAGGCAGGTGAGGTGCCACTGAGTTAAATCCTCAGCTGCATTTTCAATATATCAAGACAGTAAGTTCATTTAAAATACATGAGCCAAAGCCTATCATGAAGTTCAGGATTTTAGATAAATAAATTGTATATCCTTTGGGGGTTCAGTGTTTTAAAGAAAATTCATATGCATCTTCATTTTCTAACTATTCATTTCAAATCTAGAAGTGTTTAATTTTTGTATTTACATTAAATAACACAGTAATTTAATCCAAAGTCCATTTAAATGTCCCCTTGGGAAAACTGGAGTTTATCACAGCATCCTACTTCTTCCTTATGATGCTGCAAACTCCAACTGGAAATGTTACCAATAATCCATTTTCTTACATGCTCGCTCCTGAATATACTTAGTTCTTTAAAAGAAGAGCAAGATTTCTTTTTCATTGGGTTCCCAGTGGAAGAGTGAGGAAAACAGAAACAAATCCATTTTCAAATGGCACAATTTTAACAAAACATTTTATCTCTGTACTACATGGATAATATTCTAGTAGCTAAGTTTTACTAACTAATATGTATGTAGTCAGTTAATCCCTGAGCTCTATAAGCATCAGTTATCTCAAATACTCACTAAAATGAAACAACTGTTCCAAGTTATTTGCCTTGCTTGTCTGTCTGAAATGGTTTTACCCTTCCATCGGGTCAGTTGTCACTAGAGGGCAGTGTTATTTTCACATTTCAAAACTCATCTGTCATGTTTCAAGTCTCCCAGATACATAATTAACTTAGAATTCTAGATATAATTTTTTAAAGTACACATTTATTTTAAATGAACAAGTATGTATAAAACACTGCTCATCCCTTGGTATGTACTGCATCTTGTGTTCCCCAAACATATTTGTTGAAGCCTTAGTCTTCAATGTGATAGTATTTGTAGATAGAGCCTTTGGGATGTAATTAGGTTTAAATTAGGTCAAGAGAGTAGAGTCACTCTAATAAGATTAGCGTCCTTATAAGCAGAGAAAGAGAATAGACCATGGTGTCTCTATGTCTCTGTCTGTCTTCTATCTTTTTAATCTTCACCACGATGCTAAGACAGAGCCAGAAGGAAGAAGGCAGCCAACTGCAAACCAGGAACAGGTCTTCCTCAGCACTGAAAAGTTGGCTGCCTGATCTTGGATTTCCTAGTCTCCAGAACTGTAAGAAGTAAAAGTTTAAGCCACTCGGGCTATCGTATTTCATTACAGCAGCCCAAACTAAGACAGCCCTGTAAAAATTATTTAAAAATCTGAAGTAATGCTATTTGAAGTAAATTATAAAAGAATATAACATCTGGGTAGAAGTGCTTGGTTATTTTCACTCAATCTCATATATACCTCCTTACCTTAAATTAGCTAAGTAATTAACCATGAGCTGTTCACTGATCATATCTATAAAGTTGAAAAGGATAAAATTCCCTTTATTTATAAATCTAAACTATTAGAATAGAAT